TTGTCCAAGTTATAAATCTTATGATCACCTTCCTTCATTTTAGACTCTATTTCTAAATTGAACTCATTATCCATCTTCATAATTACATCTAAGAAACTTTTCATATGTTGCTTCAAGATATCATACTTTTGTTGAACCAACTCTTTAATTTCCTGTCTAAAATTCTCAAGGTTCTGATTCACAATCTTATCATGTCTTGCCATCTCTTCCAGTACAAATTCCCTTAGGTCTGTAAAGCCATTTTTCTGCGTCTGCAAGCTCACAACTTGATCATGTGATTTATAAATGGGGGAAACCCCCCCCCTACAGCTTGATTATCTGGCTTTGTCAGTTTTAACGCCATCCTGCCTACAAAGGTTTTTTTTTTTTTTGCCCTTTTTAAAGAAAAAGACTTCTCTCCAGACAATATCAATATCAAGTCTCTAAGAAGGAAGAGGCATAAAATAAGAATTTTTTCTCTTCACTCCTAGCCAGCGCTATTGTTTTAGATACTTTGTAACGTCTCAAACGGAAGGACTTTCGCTTTCAGCTCTTCACAAGCCTCAGCCAGTCGCCATTTTAAACTCTCTTTTTTCCTCCTTTCATTCTCCTTTACTTTTAGAATCAGTCTTGGGGTTAGAAATACTTGCAGTTTAAGATCCCAGATCCGGATTTCCTCCTACTTCTTCAGATAATCTGTTAATTCCGTTAATTGGTCTGGTCCCATCGCCTGGCTCTGCAAAAAGGCAGAGTTCTCCCGAAGCCCGGAGCAGCGGCGAGCGGAAATAGGGAGCCTCATCCTGCTTCGTCCCCAAGAGTAAAACAAAAACTCTAAGGACTTCGCAGAGGGCTCTACCTGCCCTCGCCTGCTCTATCTAGCATTTCCTTGAGGAAATGGAGTTTTTCGAGCCGCCTTTCAGCTTTAAAGGCGGCTCTTTACGGGCAACGGGGCTGGCGGTCTCAAAAGACCGTCTAACGGCGACGGAAGCCAAACCGGAAGCCTGGACTGGGTTATTTTTGTGTCCTTCCACAACATGGAGAGCAGAATAGCAGGTTGAAGTTGCTGTCAGCCAGCATAGCTTCCTCTGGTTGTCTTGTTCTGCTAGGTGCTCCTCCAAATTTGCCTTTACAAGAAGCACTTCTTTTAAAGTCCTTCAAGAATTAGGAATAAACGTATGACAGTGGCAGGAACTGCTGGACCACCTTTCCTTTTTAATTTATCAGCCTCCTAAGTTACAGATTAACAGAGTTGGAAGGGACCTTGTAAATCATCTAGTCCAACCTCACTACACCATTTCTGACATTTTGGCAGTCTAGTCTCTTCTTGAAAGCTCCCAGTGATGAAGCTCCCATGAAACTTCTGTTCCATTGTTGCATTGCTTTCACTGTAAGAAAACGTCTCCTTATTTTCAGGTTGAATTTCTCCTTGTTCAGTTTCCATCCATTATTCCTTGTCTGGCCTTCAGGTGCTTTGGAAAATAGCTTGACCCCCTCCTCTCTGCCCCTCAAATATTGGAGCACTGCTACCCTGTCTCCCCTGGTCCTTCTCTTCACTAGACTAGCCATGCCCAGTTCCTGCACCTTTTCATCGTATGTCTTAGCCTCCAGTCCCCTCATCGTCTCAGTTGGTCTTCCTTGCACTCTTTCTAGAGTCCCAAGATCTTTGTTACATCTTGGCAACTAATACTGGATGCAAAGTTCCTAAGTGTGATCTTACCAAGGCATTCTAAAGTGGAACTAACACTTCATGTGGTCTCGATTCTATCCCTTTCTTAATGTAACCTATGATTGTATTGGGTGTTTTTTGGCAACTGTAGCACACTGCTGGCTCACATTTAAGTGATTGTCCACTAGGACTCCAAGATCCCTGTTCCACTTACTACTTTTGAGCCAGGCATCACCTATTCTATGGCAGTGCATTTGGTTTTTCTTTCCTAAATGTAGCACATTACATTTCTCACCATTGAAGTTCATTTTGTTAGAAGGTGCCAATCTGTCAATCCTTCTATATCGCGAGCTTATCTTCTGGAGTGTTCGTATTCCTGTCAATTTGGTCTTGTCTGCAAATTTGATGAGTTCCCCTTCTATCCCCTTGTCTAAATCATTGATGATGATGAACAGATCTTGCGAATCCTCCTGTTCTGTTCTTTTTTCCATGTTCAGGAGAGTCTTGTGTCCTTCGAGGAGGTGGCTGTGTATTTCTCTGAGGAGGAATGGTCTCAGCTGGATCCTGACCAGAAAGCGCTGCATTCGGAAGTCATGCTTGAAAACTATAGGAACGTGGTCTCTCTCGGTAAGAGTTTTCTTGTCCCAAATCAGAGAGTTCAAGAAGATAGATTATATCTGTGTAACATTAAAAGTGTAATAGATGATAAGTGGGATAAAATCAAAGATAAATTGATAAAGTTTAAGATATTAAGAATCAAGGAAAGGGTCAAGAGATTAAGAATTAGATACAACTTGGTCTTATAAAGTGTATTAAAAATGGAGTGCTATGGAATTTGAAATTAAGATCTCTGGTGATAAAATTGTAGGGTAAATAATTAGAATAAGAGGTTAGAATATTGTTAAAAAAATTTTTTGATGCTGATGGTAAAAGGTATAAGGTGAAGAAGACATAATTAAGATTGATATATAGATATAAAAATGAGTGAGAGTTAATTTGAAATTAAAATTGTATTGATATAATGGATTTGTTTAGAAGATGATGTTAGAATTTATGTTAAAACTTGTGCTTTTATGTTTTGAATTTTTATTTGTAAAAGATGTAATGGGAAATTGTGAACGGAGCTTGTTAAAGAAATGTAAGCGTGGTAACCATCTATGACCGGATCGAGACTCTGCTCTTGAAAGCTATATTTTATGTTTAAGTTTGAAAAAAAAAATAAAAAAAATATTTACAAAAAAAAAGAAGAAGAAGAAGACAGATTATACTTACTTTTTATTTAAAAAAATCACTAATCAGATATTGTCTCCTGGGAAGGAGAAGGGAAGGATCTGGCCTTCTCGTACCCCAAGGAAGGAAAGAGTCAGTGTCTCTTTGCTGAGGTCCTTTTGGGGCATTCCTTATCTGTATTTTTCCATTTCTATTTGAACTTATCTGTGGAGGCTGAGAATAATGAGGTGTGCTTTTATGTGTCCTCTGGAGATCATGTGAGAAGAATGTGTTTGTCATTTGTTCTCTGAAACCTCCCCAAATTGTGTGGGAATAGAACTTTCACGCTCGGGCCATGGAAGAGCATTCTCCCAATCCAATTCAAGAACAAAGGCCTCATGAAATATGACTCAGAGCATCCTAGGATACAGGTGATCTCCGAGTTACGACAGTTCACTAAGCAACCATACGAAGTTACGATCTAGCTCTCTCCTAGTCCTGAAATAACGAATGTTACAACACCACGGCCGTCATTCACACTTACAAATGGCAGCAGAGGCATTGCAACAACAATCATCGTACCTGCACCTCCACCCCACTCTGCTCGGACTTACGTTACGAGGATGTAGCGAGACGTCGGTTCCTTTGCCTGCTTGGGTGCATTTGCAGAAAAAAGAGCCCTAAAATAGTGAGAGATACACAAGCTCAATAGTGGGAAATCTGGCACTACTGATCTCACAGAATCTCGCACTAGAGTACTTTAGGCTTCTGTTCTCTGCTCACCAAGGCCTACACGAGATCCAGGGCAAAATGCTTTGGAAACAAAGGGGAGGCCTCTTTGTTTTCAAAGACTTTTGCCCTGGATCTCGTGCAGTCCTCAGTTTGTAGGGAACACAGGACTAAAGTACTGCAGCCTGAGATCCCGCAAGATCATTAGTGTGAGATCTTGCACTTCTCGTCTTGTGTGATCTCACACTAAAGTAGTTTAGGCCTCTGTTCTCTGCCATCAGAAGCCTGTACCAGATCCGGCCAAAAAGCCCTTGCAAGCTGATGAGACTTTGGGGCACCAAAATAGCCATTGTTGAAGCCTCCCAATCTTTCCAGTCTCAGCGCGATGAGCGTTTACAAGCCAATGGGAGGCTTCAATCAAGGGACTTCGCTCCTAAGTCTCATCATTGGGATCAAGGAACAGCCCGAGCGGGAGTCCTGTCTGCCAGACAGATGTGGTGGAGTACCTGCTCCAAGGTACACCGGGGAAGAAGGAGCTTTTTTCAAAATGGTTTCAGTTCTCATAGGTCTCTGCTGAAATTAACCCAGCCCAATAAATCTTAAGTTTTCTCCTTATTCCTCCTTGGGTGTTTCCCCTATTTATTCCATGACTCAAAACAGACTTTGATTGAGATTTGCACATATATAGATAATTGTAAAGAAAGAGATGTTTTCTAGATATTTTCAAAGCTTTCAGAACTCATGAATATAGAAATCATCCTGTCTATATCACACCACTGTAAGCATGCAAACATAAAACTTAAAAGAATTTTGGAAAAATTCAGAAGGAAATTCACTTGACTTTGTACGGTTTGATCTTTTTCTCTAACTTTGTTATCGTTTTCATTTCTCTTTTGCTTTGAAGATAATAATGGGCAGGAGAATCAAGATTCCTGTGTACTGCTCCAAATGATCAATGCTAAAGATGGAACGGAGAAGTTTGGAATTCGAATGGAACCAGAAACCCATGCTAGAAACCAGTCAAATGATTGGAATCAGGAAAGCTCATATTCCACCGATGCTCTGATGCAAGACTTTCTTGCCCAACAGGAAAAAATAAGGAAAAAATATATTGGGGAAAGTGTGAAGCCAATCAAAACTAAATTACAAGTAAAAGAACACTATATAAGCCAAAACAAAGGAGAAGATGCTATAAGAAGACACAACGGACAAAGTTACAATGGGACATTCATGCCTTCTCTTGGAAATAAGTTCCTTACATCTCAAAAAGTGATAGACACAAAAGAGAAGCCTTACAAATGTTTGGAATGTGGAACATGTTTTAGAACAAGCAGGCAACTTACTTCCCATAAGAGGATCCACACAGGGGAGAAGCGGTATAAATGCATGGTGTATGGAAAGACGTTTGGTCAAAGAGGTTATCTTATATCCTACAAAATGATCCACACAGGGGAGAAGCCGTATAAATGCATGGACTGCAAAAAAACCTTTGCTCGAAGAAGTAGTCTTATTTCTCATAAAATGATCCACACAGGGGAGAAGCCGTATAAATGCATAGAGTGCGAAAAAACCTTTACACGAAGAAGTAGTCTTATTTCCCATAAGAGGATCCACACAGGGGAAAAGCCGTATAAATGCATAGAGTGTGGAAAAACCTTTGCTCACAGAAGTAGTCTTATTTCCCATAAGAGGATCCACACAGGGGAGAAGCCGTATAAATGCATGGAGTGTGGAAAGACCTTTGCTAAGAACTGTGTCCGAAGAGCACATGAAAGGTTCCACACAGGGGAGAAACCGTATAAATGCATAGAGTGTGGAAAAACCTTTGCTCACAGAAGTAGTCTTATTTCCCATAAGAGGATCCACACAGGGGAGAAGCCGTATAAATGCATGGAGTGCGGAAAGACCTTTGCTCGAAGAGCTAATCTTACTTGCCATGAGAGGATCCACACAGGGGAGAAGCCATATAAATGCATGGAGTGTGGAAAGGCCTTTGCTCAAAGAAGTCATCTTATTTCCCATAAGAGGATCCACACAGGGGAGAAGCTGTATAAATGCATGGAGTGTGGAAAGATGTTTTCTGAAAGAGCTCATCTTATTTGCCATGAGAGGATCCACACAGGGGAAAAGCCGTATAAATGCATGGAGTGTGGAAAGACCTTTGCTAAGAACTGTGTCCTAAGAGCACATGAAAGGTTCCACACAGGGGAGAAACCGTATAAATGCATGGAGTGTGGAAAGACATTTGGTCAAAGAGCTCATCTTATTTGCCATGAGAGGATCCACACAGGGGAGAAGCCGTATAAATGCATGGAGTGTGGAAAGGGCTTTGCTCAGAAAGTTAGTCTTACTTCTCATAAAAGGATCCACGCTCAGGAGAAAGTGTATAGCAATAGTAATTCCACTTAGACTTATATACCAGTCTATAATGCTTTATAGCACTCTTTGAGCAGTTTACAAAGTCAGCATATGGTCTCCAGCAATCTGGGTCCTCATTTTAACCACCTCAGAAGGATGAAAGCTGAATCAACCATGACCCTGTCAGAATCAAACTTATGGCTGTGGGCAATTAGCCTATAGTACTGCATTCTAACCGCTGATCCACCAGCATAGATTTTGATTTGTATGCATATTGTGCCTTTCGGATCCAAACAAGACAAGGTAGAATCCAACAAAATGAAATTTAATGTGGAGAAAAGTAAGCTTTTACATCTGGGCAGGAAAGACAGATTACCTGAAACCTGGCTGGAAAATAGTAACTGTGAAGGGTCCTTGGAGTCGGAATTGATGATCAATGAAGCATGAATTACCTGTGTGCGGCAGCAGCCAAAAAAACGAATACAATCCTTGGTTGTATAAACAGAGGCATAGAATAAAAATCAGATGAAGTATTAGTACCAGTTCATAAAGACTTAGTAAGAAAACCCCTGGAATACCGCATCCTGTTTGGGTCATCACATTGCAAAGCAGATGTTGAAACTTTGGAAAAAGAGCAAAGAAGAGCAGCTAAGCTGATTAAAGGCCGGAAGACTAAAACAAGAACTATTATAGGAACTGGGCTAGTCTAGTGAAGAGAAGGACCAGGGGAGACAGGATAGCAGTGTTCCAATATTTGAGGGGCTGCCACAGAAAGGAGAGGGTCAATGTCAGGTATGCTTCCTTCAAAGTCCAAGAAAGAATGACCCACCGTTTCCATGGCAGCCAAAGCAGTAAAAGGTGACTATTTTCCAAGGCACCTGAAGGCCAGACAAGGAATAATGGATGGAAACTTATCAAGGAGAGAAGCAACCTGGAACTTTCTTACAATGAGGACAATTCACCCGTGGAACAGCTTCCCTTCAGATAGCATGGGTGCTTCCTCACTGGACATTTTTAAGAAGACACTGGACAGTTTCAAGTAACTCCCTCTGATGAGTATTCCACTAGAGCAGAGTTGCAGGCAGAAATGCAATTAGTCCTGAATCCCTTACTATTATTTCAGCTTTTCTTACTTTGCTTAGTATTATCACAGTCTGCTTTTCCAGCATTTCACTTTATACAAGTAATAACTGAGAAAGACAACCATAAGGAGAACGGGGTTGTAGTGATGCTGAGTTAGAAAATGCAACTCATAGGCTCTTTGTACTAATTTTGTGGTGATCTTTCCTTGCCTTCCCTCGTGTTGCCCATCTCTGGACTCACACAATCTTATCAATACATTTTTTAAAGTGAAGTCTCCAGAACTGGACACAGTATTCCAAATGGAGTCTCACTAAAGCCCTATGTAGAGGGATAGGAGCTCCTTTTTGCTGAGGGTGATACATCTGGTGATGCATCTCAGAATTTTGTTTGCCTTCCCAGCTGCCTGGCTACACTGCTTACTTATGTTGCAGTTATCCTTGTTTCAGTGCCATGGCAACTACTTTCACAGAGTTGTGTAAAAGAAGGGAAGAGAAAGCAGTGGTAGGGATATGTGAACACATATTAAGTTCCCATAGGTAGGCAGCCTGCTGGCCAACCCAGGCAGTCCCTGATTTACAATAATTTATTAAGTAACCATTTGAAGTTACAATGGCAATAAATGATGGCTCTGACCTCCTCCTTCCCTCCCTCCCTCCCTCCCAAATTAGGCCTACTCCAGGATATGAGAATGAAAACCAGTCTGGTGTGCTAACATTGCAAAGGATCAATCAAGAAGGAAGATCTTTGGAAATCAATGGGGACCAAAATAAGATGAAATTAAGAACTACTTCAAAAAATTACTTCAGTCCTTCCTGATGAAACATGCAGAAATGCGAATGGGAACTTTCTCTGGGATGTCCAGATACCAAAAATAATCCAGCCTGCCAACAAAGGAGACAATGTGTAGCTCACGGTTGAAATGAGGGGTCCTTGGTGGTCTCTGAGCTTGATTGTGTTGTTGCAGACCTTTCATTAGCCAAACGAGGGACGATCATCAGTGCTCCAACCAACCTCAGAGGGCACCAAGGACCCCTCAATCCAACTTCCATCCACTGTGTCAAATTAATCACTGTGTCAATGAGGATGAATGCAGAATCAAGGAACCGTTTTAGGCCAAAGACCTCTTAGGATGTGATGGAATAATGAGAGATGTCTGTAGACTGCATGCAGAAAGCTTCAGGGTGAACAATTTGCCTTTCAAGCAAGAGGCCGGAATGAACAGAAGGAAACAAATGCATGGGGAAAATTTATTTTTCAAGCATTAGGGCCACATTCTTCTATTTTTATGATGTGTCATAACATTAAGTAACTTAAAATTAAATATCAGTCGTGTAGTTACTTGCTAAAGATGCATAAAATTCTCAATGGAGCCTACAGCTTTCCTTGTTTTTCATTTTCATTTTCTTTTTTCATTTATGGTCTAATGATATATCCCTGCCTTCAATTCTCCAAGGGCCTTAAACTTCCTAATCACATTTCTTGAGTTGAATTTCCTACTCAATCCCTATGTAAAAATGGTTTTTCCTCCTCATAGTTTAGCTTTCTATTCCTTTTTCAGGATCTTCCTTTTCTTTCATCAGAAGAGACCGGAGGGGTCCCTGCCCTTTCTCCTCCCCCCCTTTGCTGGGAGGCTGAGCGAATAGTGTGGGAAGGGCAGCTGCATGTATTGAATTAAATAAAAAAGAAATAAAAACATTTTCCTGATTGTGGCCTTCCTGCCTGTGTTCCATCTGCCTCCCAACAACCGCAAGACACAAGCTGTCTTTCCCACAGAGCCTCCTGGTCCTTCTCTTCTGACCGCCCGGCTGTTTCTGACAGGATTTGGACCCTTTGGAGGCCTCCCACAATCTCTGCTGAGCCTTCAGGGCGGCTGTTCTTGAGGGAAGTGAGTTCAAATCCTCCAGAGAGATTTTTCTCCATCTTCACAGAGGGTTCCTGGACAGGAAAAAGAGGAAAATGGAGAAAGAAATTGAGAGGGCCATTTCCTCCTACTCCGAAGCCCATCATCCCTGCCCTCTCCCTTCCCCTCAAACGCGCTCCTCTTTCCCGCCCTTTCTACAATCCTGGCACTTTGCCCCTAATCCACCAGGGGGAGCTCTCTGCTAAAAGAAGGTAGGGTCATGCGCTTCCCCATTGGTCCGCTGGATGGCGAATGTCACAGCTGCTTTTCCATAGGAGGCTGGGAAGGAAATGACATCACAAACACTTGCCGCTCTAGGACTCCGCACTCGCTCTCCTTAACCCCTGGGGCTCCACAGGAGGCGGAGAGGCTACGGGAGAGTCTGGCGGGGGGAGATCCAGACGTTCCCCGGGTGAGTTGGGGGCTCTTCCCGGGCAAAGGGAGGCGGAGGAGGGAGAGACCCGCGCCCAGCCTTCCTCCGGCTTCCACCCCGGGTCCCATGCTCCCCAGCCGCCCTCTCCATGCAGGGGGATCCTTCCCGCCCCCTGTCTGAGGAAGAGCCCGAGTGGGGGGAGGGGAGGGTCTGCCTTGCGGAGGCCCAGCAGGAGGGGAGAGAAGCCGGGCGAGGAGGAGGCAGGATTCGCACCAGGCTCCCTGTCTCCGGAGGGGGAGAGAAGCGGGGCGGCCTCTCCAGCTGCCTCCTTCCCGGCCCTGCTCGGGGGCACCTCAGTCCTGCGCTGGGATGAGCCTCTTGGGGCTCCGGGGAGGTTGGGGGAAGGTCGCTCAGTGGCTGAATTCCACTTTCTAATTCTTAATATTCATTTTTTCTTCCCATCTCAGATACAGAAGCTGGAAGCCATTTGTGGTCTTTGCAAGGCAAACTGTTCTCTTGGGGGAAGAAGAAAAAGAGCGGAATCCCTTGCAGGGATCAGTCCTGCAGCCCCAGAAATGGTCCCGTGAAGGAAAAGGCATCTGGAGACCCACCAGAGTCCTTGGATCCATTTGCAGTTGCTCTGCAGGACAGAGAAAGGATGGAGACACAACCTTTTGGAAAGGAGGGAAGCGGAAAAGGCCCTTCAGCTGCTCAGCCTGGGAAGGGGGGGAAGCTCTGGACAAGAACCAGGCAGAAGATCCTGGAGGAGGAAACCATCCTCCCTTCAGAAGTTCATCCCTGGACCTCCATCCAATACCGGGAGGCTGAGGGTCCCCGAGGACTTTGCAGCCGACTCCATGGCTTTTGCAGGCGATGGCTGAGACCAGAAAAGCACACCAAAGCCCAGATGCTGGACCTGGTGGTTCTGGAGCAGCTCCTCTTCCTTCTGCCCCCAGAGGTGGAGAGCTGGGTGCGGGAGTATGGAGCAGAGACCAGCTCCCAGGCGGTGGCCCTGGTGGAAGGCTTCCTCCTGAGCCAGTTGGAGGAGCAGAAGGAGCAGGCTGAGTTGCAGGTAAGAGTTCAAGACAGAATAGAGAATCTGTTTGAATATTTCACCCCTCCTTCCCAAACTTCTCTGACATTCATAATATGTGGCAATGTCCCACCTATTCTTGTAGGACATTGTTCCATTGTTTCCTCACTCGACCACATAGATGGATATTGGGGGCTTTGAGGTTGTGTTCCGAATATAGGAATCCACTTTACGTCATCTGATGTACATTAATTCTGCTTCTTCCTTCCTCCTATTGGAAGTGCTGCACTGTGGAGATCAGAGATCCTGAGGGAAAGAAGAACCCATCAGTTCCCCCCCAGGAGCTATTTTTCAGGAGGATCCCTTGGGAGGATCAAAGTCAGGACACCTCAGGAGGTAACTGAAGATCCTCTGATTACCCATCTGTCTTACCTTCGCTCTCTCTTCTTTTCTATACAATACCTTCTCCTATTTATACTTCTCCACACTAATTGCATCTACAGATAATTGCCCAACGACTCTCTTTAGGTGAGCCGCCTCCTCCTGGGGAAGGAGGAGATTGAGGTCTACCTGAAGGGGCATGCTGAGGTATTTGTGGTTTTTCGCTCGACTTTGTTCCCAGTTGGATGCCGGCATGGTTGCTGGTCTGGTGGAAGCCTCTGAGGCAGGTTCTTGCTCTGATATCTGGGAACGGTTTGACCCTGTTGCTCCTGAGGAAGTGGACAGGATCCTAGGGAGTATGGGTGGGTGCAAGCACCTGTGTTTTAGACCCAGCCCTGCCTGGCTTGGGAAAGCTTCCCGGGAGATTACAGGTGGGTGGACGCTGGCAGTCATTAATGCTTCCCTACAGGAGGGGGCAGTGCCCCAGCATTTTAAGGAGGCTGTGGTCCACCCTCTTCTTAAGAAACCATCCCTGGATCCCACCCTTTTGAATAATTTCCTACCTGTCTCCAATCTTAACTTTTTGGGGAAGGTTGTTGAGAAGGTGGTTACACACTCTCAGAAACGTATTAATTTCTAACGGATTGCAAAGAAACACTATCACCAACCTAATCCAAAGGGAGACACCCCCCCAAGAACCAAGACACAGAACAGGACAACGACATCGACCTCCTCCCTTACATCAAAGGCACCCCAGATAAAATCAGCAAAATCCTCCACAAACATAATATCAAGGCGACCTTCTGCACTGACCAAAAAATAGCCAACATCTTAAGAAACCCCAAAGACAAGATCCAGCTAGAAAACCAAGGAGTCTATGAAATACCATGCAAAATCTGCTCAGCCACATACATTGGACAAACGAATAGGAGAATAAATGCACGCATTGCAGAACACAAGAATGCAGTCAGAAAAGAAGAAACAACTTCATCCATTTTCCAGTACCTTAAAGCAACAGGACATGAAATTGATTTTGAAGGAACCAAATTAATCCCCAAAACTGAACACTTCAACAAGAGAATAATTATGGAAGCCATTGAAATAGAAAAACATCCCCACAACATGAATAAATGTGACGATACCTCCCACCTACCAGACATCTGGAAACTAGCCCTTGTCAACAAACGAGTCCCAGCACCCATAGTCAAAAAAATTTACACCCCGGAATACACCCCACTCCCCAGACCTCCAGCCAAATCACTTTCCAGCCAGCCAAAAAAATGAAGCCACGCCACCTGGTGGAGAAAAACCGACCATACACTCAAAGCCAAGCCAATAGACACAGACTGGGACTCCCAACCAATCAGAACGAAGAGGTGGGGCCATCCCAGCAAAGCAGACTACCAGCACCAGATTTGAAATAGTAACGGCAATTGCTGCAGAAGATCCCTTACATAAACCTGATGATGACAGATGGGATTCTGCTGAAACGTTGCCAAAGTACTCTCAATCTTACACGGAAGAAGATCCGAATACACCAAGACTTAGGACAGGGATGGTAGGCACGCTGGTGCGCTTATGCACTCGCCTTAGAGATCTCTTAGGAATGGAGTGAGGTTTACAGTAGATGGTCTAAGGTTAAAGTTTTGGAGTTTAGGGGAAGAAATCACAGAGTACGGTAGTGCATTCCAGGCATTAGTGACTCTTTTACTGAAGTCATATTTTCTGCAATCAAGTTTAGCGCAGTTTACCATAACTTTGTATCTATTGTGTGCTCGTATATTGTTGTGGTTGAAGCTGAAGGAGTCATTGACAGGTAGGACCCCTGCCAGTCAAGATTCAGGCCTGGATTTGGGACAGAATCGTCATTGGTCGCGCTTTTGTATGATCTCTGGCGAGAGCGGGATGTGAGTGGCGTATCCATCCTTGCTCTATTTGACCTCTCGGTGGCTTTCGATACCATCGACCATGGTATTCTCCTGGGACGGCTTCGCGGGATGGGAGTGGGAGGCCTTGTGCTATCCAGCCTCACTTCCTTCCTCTGCAGCCGTTCTCAGTCAGTGTTGATAGGAGGGGATAGATCCAGCCCTCATGCACTGCTTTGCGGGGTTCTTCAGGGCTCGGTACTCTCTGCTCCTGTTCAACATTTATATGAAACTGCTTTGTGAGATCATCTGCTAGCTTGGACTGAGATATCACCAATATGATGATGATACTGAGCTGTATGTCTTGGCCCGTGGTGGATTAAGCAATGCTGTGTCCTCCCTCTCGCAGTGCCTGGAGGCTGTTAGGGACTGGATGGGGAGCAATGGGTTTAAACTAAAGCCTGCTAAGACAGAGTGGCTCTGGGTTTGGGGTTCATTGGCCAGGGGAGAATTGCCACTTCTGGTCTTGGATGGGGTGGCCACTACCCCAAACACACCCTGTGCGTAATCTGTGGGTTCTCCTGGACATAGAACCCCTATTGAGCCTTGGTGGCGCAGCAGACTAATGGGCTATTAAGTAACACCAGCTGCCTGCAATTACTGCAAGTTCAAATCTCACCAGGCTCAAGGTTGACTCACCCTTCCATCTTTTCGAGGTAGGTAAAATGAGGACCCGGATTGTGGGGGCAATAAGGTGACTTTGTATAAAAAAGAACACCGTTTGGGGTGGGGGCTGAAAGCCCTACTAAGCAGGTATATACAAAAGTATAAAGGCTATTGCTTAATGCATTGTAAGCCGCCCTGAATCTCCGGAGAAGGGTGGCATATAAATCGAACCAATAAACAATAAATAAATAAACCCCTGCTCGAAAAGCAGGTTGTGGTCGTGTGCAGGAGGGCCTTTGCGCAACTATGGGTTGTGCGCCAGAAACAGCCCTTCCTGGACCGACAATCCCTACTCACAGTCACTCATACCCTAATCTTGACTATTGCAACGTGCTCTACATGGGGCTGTCCTTGACGAGCATGTGGAAGCTCCAGTTGGTGCGAAATGCAGCGGCCCGCATGGTTTTCTGCAGACCCTGGTGTGCACAAGTAACACCTCACCTGCAGGAGCTGCATTGGCTGCCAATTTCCTTCCTGGTGCAATTCAAAGTGCTGGTTGTCACCTATAAAGCCCTCCATGGCTTGGGACCAGGTTATCTGAGGGACCATCTCTTACTAGTTACATCTGCCCAACCCACCAGAGTGCGAAGGCAGGAATATTGCAGGTGCCATCCCCTAGGAAGACACGCCTGGTGAGACCCAGAAGAAGGGTTTTCTCCGTGGCAGCTCCCTCTCTCTGGAACATCATCCACCCCAGAGATGAGGATTAGAATTAGAGATTAGAATGGCCCCCCACAGTAGCACTCTTCCAGAAGGCGCTGAAGACCTGGTTCTGCCAAGGGGCCTGGGAAACCCAGAGTGGGATGGAGCCCATTAAACGGCTCCTGTGAGGTGCTTTTGCCTGGGCAAGGGGTGTGGGTGATTTTATTATTTTAATGTATTATATAATTCTCCTTTTATTAATTTTCTTATTTTAATATGGGTTTATTATTTTTTTGCCGCTTTGAGTCGCTATGTGTGAATACGCGGCATATAAATTGTCTAAAATAAATCAATAAAATAAATATTTTGAAATTATTTATTCCTTACAGAGAAACAAAGAATGAAATTTTCTGGTTTTTATGACGGTGATCAAACAGCAGTTGAACTTCTAAATCAAGTAAGAAAAGGAAAAGTTATTAGACTTGTATTCTCCCTTCAGGAAGTGAAGTGGGTGTACAGAGTTCTCTCTCCTTCTATTCCTCCCCTTGTTTGGACTGGGTTATTTTTGTGTCCTTCCACAACATGGAGAGCAGAATAGCAGGTTGAAGTTGCTGTCAGCCAGCATAGCTTCCTCTGGTTGTCTTGTTCTGCTAGCTGCTCCTCCAAATTTGCCTTTACAAGAAGCACTTCTTTTAACGTCCTTGAAGAATAAACACATTTTTCCAGTGGCAGGAATTGCTAGACCACCTTTCTTTTTGTTTATCAACCTCCTAAGGTACAGATTAATAGAGTTGGAAGGGACCTTGTAGGTCATCTAGTCCAACCTCCTACACCATTTCTGACAAGCGGCAGTCCAGTCTCTTCTTGAAAGCTCCCAGTGATGAAGCTCCCACAACTTCTGAAGGAAACTTCTGATCCATGGGTTCATTGCTTTCACTGTCAGAAAATGTCTCCTTATTTCTAGGTTGAATTTCTCCTTGTTGAGTTTCCATCCATTATTCCTTGACTGGCCTTCAGGTGCTTTGGAAAATAGCTTGACCCCGCTCCTCTCTGTGGCAGCCCCTCAAATATTGGAACACTGCTATCATGTCTCTCCTGGTCCTTCTCTTCACTAGACTAGCCATGCCCAGTTCCTGCAACTGTTCAGTCCCCTCATCATCTTGGTTGCTCTTCTTTGCACTCTTTCTAGACTCTCAAAATCTTTTTTAGATCATGGCAACTTCATATGATCTTGATTCTATCCCTCTCTTAATACAGCCTATGATTCTGTTGATAGTTTTTTGGCAACTGTAGCACACTCCTGGCTCACGTTAAGCGATTGTCCACTAGGACTCCAAGATCCCTGTTCCACTTTCTACTGTAGAGCCAGGCATCACCTATTCTATGGCAGTGCATTTGGTTTTTCTTTCCTAAATGTAGCACATTACATTTCTCACCATTGAAGTTCATTTGGTTAGAAGGTGCCAATCTGTCAATCCTTCTATATCTCGAGCCTATCTTGTGCAGTGTTGGTATTCCTGTCAATTTGGTCTTGTCTGCAAATTTGATGAGTTCCCCTTCTATCCCCTTGTCTAAATCATTGATGATGATGAACAGATCTTGCGAATCCTCCTGTTCTGTTCTTTTTTCCGTGTTCAGGAGAGTCTTGTGTCCTTCGAGGAGGTGGCTGTGTATTTCTCTGAGGAGGAATGGTCTCAGCTGGATCCTGACCAGAAAGCTCTGCATTCGGAAGTCATGCTTGAAAACTATAGGAACGTGGTCTCTCTCGGTAAGAGTTTTCTTCTCCCAAATCGGACAGTTCAAGAAGACAGATTATTGTTACATTTTATTAAAAAATCACTAATCAGATATTGTCTCCTGGGAGGGAGAAGGGAAGGATCTGGTCTTCTCGTACCCCAAGGAAGGAGAGTCAGTGTCTCTTTGCTGAGATGCTTTTGGGGCATTCCTTATCTGTATTTTTCCATTTCTATTTGAACTTATCTGTGGAGGCTGAGAAGAATGAGGTGTGTTTTTATGTGTCCTCTGGAGATCATGTGACAAGAATGTGTTGTCATTTGTCCTCTGAAACCTCCCCAAATTGTGTGGGAACAGAAATTTTACACTCAGGCCATGGAAGAGCATTCTCCCAGTCCAATTCAAGAACAAAGGCCTCATGCAGTGTGACTCAGAGTATCCTAGGATATAGGTGATCCAGAGTTACGACAGTTCACTAAGCAACCATACCAAGTTACAATCTAGCCCTCTCCTAGTCCTGAAATAACGAATGTTACAGCACCACGGCCGTCATTCAGATTTACAAATGACAGCAGAGGCGTTGCAACAACAATCAGCCTACCTTTTCCCCCCACCCCACCCTGCTCAGATTTACGTTACGAGGACGTAGCGAGGCGGTTCCTTTGCCTGCTCGGGTGCATTTGCAGAAAAAAGAGGCCTAAAGTAGTGAGAGATACACAAGATCAACAGTGGGAAATCTGGCACTATTGATCTCACATGAACTCGAACTACAGTACTTTAGGCCTCTGTTCCCTGCTAACCAAGGCCTGCACGAGATCCAGGGCAAAATGCTTTGGAAACAAAGGGGAGGCCTCTTTGTTTTCAAAGACTTTTGCCCTGGATCTCGTGCACTCCTCAGTTTGTAGGGAACACAGGACTAAAGTACTACAGTGTGAGATCCTGCAAGATCATTAATGTGAGATTTTGGACTTCTCATCTTGTGTGATCTCGTACTGAAGTAGCTTTAGGCCCATGTTCTCTGCGAACTAAAGCCTGTACCAGATCTGGCCAAAAAGTTTTGCAAGTTGATGAGATTTTGGGGTAGCAAAATAGCCATTCTTGAAGCCTCCCAACCTTTCCAATCTCAGTGCAAAGAGCATTTACAAGCCAATGGGAGGCTTCAGGGAAGGGACTTTGCACCAAAGTCTCATTGTTTGGATAAAGGAACAGGCCGAGCGGGAGTCCTGCCTGCCACACAGACGCCGTGCAGTAGCTGCTCCAAGGTACACCGGAGAAGAAGGAGCTTTTTTCAAGATGGTTTCAGTTCTCACAGATCTCTGATGAAATTAACCCACCTCAATAAATCTTAAGTTTTCTCCTTATTCCTCTTTGGGTGTTTCCCCTGATTATTCCTTTGCTCAAAACAGACTTTGATTGAGATTTGCAGATATTTAGATAATTGTAAAGAAAGAGATGTTTTCTAGATATTTTCAAAGCTTTCAGAACTCATAAATATAGAAATCCTGTCTATATCACACCAATGTAATCATGCAAACATAAAACTTAAAGGAATTTTGGAAAAATTCAGAAGGAAATTCATTTGACTTTGTACGGTTTGATCTTTTTCTCTAACCTTTTCATTTCTCTTTTGCTTTGAAGGTAATAATGGTCAGGAGAATCAAGATTCCTGTGAACTGTTCCAAGTGAACAATGCTAAAGATGGAACGGAGAAGTTTGGAATTCGAATGGAACAAGAAACCCATGATAGAAACCAGTCAAATGATTGGAATCAGGAAAGCTCATCTTCTACCGATGCTCCGATGCAAGACTTTCTTGCCCAACAGGAGAAAATAAGGAAAAAATATATTGGGGAAAGTGTGAAGCCAATCAAAGCTAAATTACAAGTAAAAGAACACTATTTAAGCCAAAACAAAGCAGAAAATACTTTAAGGAGATACAGCGGACAAAGTTACAATGGGACATTCATTCCTTCTCTTGGAAATAAGTTCCTTACATCTCAAAAAGTGATAGATACAAAAGAGAAGCCTTACAAATGTTTGGAATGTGGAACATGTTTTAGAACAAGCAGGCAACTTACTTCCCATGAAGGGATTCACACTCGGGAGAAGCTATACAAATGCAGAGAGTCTGGTAACAGGTTCAGAAGACGTAGTAATCTTATTTCCTCTAAAAGGATCCAGGCAGTGGAAAAGCCATTTAAATGCATGGAGTGCAAAAAAACCTTTGCTCGAAGAAGTAGTCTTATTTCCCATAAGAGAATCCACACAGGGGAGAAGCCGTATAAATGCATAGAGTGCGGAAAAACCTTTGCTCAAAGAGGACATCTTATTTCCCATAAGAGGATCCACACAGGGGAAAAGCCATTTAAATGCATGGAATGTGGAAAGACCTTTGCTCACAGCAGTGTCCTAAGAGCACACGAAAGGCTCCACACAGGAGAGAAGCCGTATAAATGCATGGAATGTGGAAAGACCTTTGCTCATAGAAATGGACTTACTATCCACAAAATGATCCACACAGGAGAAAAGCCATTTAAATGCATGGAGTGTGGAAAGACCTTTGCTCAAAGAGGTCATCTTATTCGCCATAAGAGGATCCACACAGGGGAGAAGCCGTATAAATGCATGGAGTGTGAAAAGACCTTTGCTCAAAGAGGTCATCTTATTTCCCATAAGAGGATCCACACAGGGGAAAAGCCATTTAAATGCATGCAGTGTGGGAAAACTTTTCCTTGTAGCAACGAACTTATATTCCATAAAAAGAGACACATGGGAGAGAAACCATATAAATGTATGGAATGTGGAAAGACCTTTGCTCAGAGCAGTGGACTTAGTTGCCACAAAAAGCTCCACACAGGAGAAAAGCCATTTAAATGCATGGAATGTGGAAAGACCTTTGCTCAAACAGGTCATCTTATTTCCCATAAGAGGATTCACACAGGGGAGAAACCGTATAAATGCATGGAATGTGGAAATACCTTTGCTCAAAAAAGTCATCTTATTTTGCATAAGGTGATCCACACAGGGGAGAAACCGTATAAATGCATGGAGTGTGGAAAGACCTTTGCTCGAAGAGGTCATCTTATTCGCCATCAAATGAGCCACACAGAGGAGAAGCCATATAAATGCATGGAGTGTGGAAAAACCTTTGCTCAAAGAGGTCATCTTGTTCACCATAAGAGGATCCACACAGGGGAGAAACCGTATAAATGCATGGAGTGTGGAAAGGCCTTTGCTTATAGTAATGGACTTACTAGCCACGAAATTATCCACACAGGGGAAAAGCCATTTAAATGCATGGAGTGTGGAAAAAACTTTGCTCAAAAAGGTAGTCTTATTCGCCATAAGAGGATCCACACAGCGGAGAAACCGTATAAATGCATGGAATGTGAAAAGACCTTTGCTCAAAGAGGTAATCTGATTCGCCATAAGAGGATTCACACAGGTGAGAAACCCTATAACTGCATGGAGTGTGGAAAAATCTTTGCTCGAAGAGGTCATCTTGTTCACCATAGGAGGATACACACAGGGGAGAAGCCCTATAAATGCATGGAGTGCGAAAAGGCCTTTATTCAGAAAGTTAGTCTTACTTCTCATAAAAGGATCCACGCTCAGAAGAAACTGCATAGCAATAGTAATTCCACTTAGACTTATATGCCACTTCACAATGCTTTCTAGCACTCTTTGAGCAGTTTACAAAGTCAGCATATGGTTTCCAGCAAACTGGGTCCTCATTTTACTCACCTCAGAAGGATGAAAGCTGAATCAACCATGACCCTGTCAGAATCAAACTTATGGCTGTGGGCAATAAGCCTATAGTACTGCATTCTAACCACTGATCCACCACGTCTCTATAGATTTTGATCTGTATGCATATTGTGCCTTTCTGATCCAAACGAGACAAGGTAGAATCCAAGAAAATGAAATTTAATGTGGAGAAAAGTAAGCTTTTACACCTGGGCAGGAAAAACAGATTACCTGAAACCTGGCTGGAAAATAGTAACTTTGAAGGGTCCTTGGAGTCACAATGGATGATCAATTAAGTATGAATCACCTGTGTGCGGCAGCAGCCAAAAAAGCGAATAAAATCCTTGGTTGTATAAACAGGTATAGAATCAAAATCACATGAAGTATTATTACTGTTAGGATATGGTGCATGCCTAACAGGTTGGCCAGACAATATATAAGCTAACATGATGAATATATATTCTATGACTTTAAGAGGTACTGCTGAGTCATTGTATCCTGATTAGATAAACTCTGTAGTAACTGTATTTAAGGAGAGCTTGAATGTAGTCATTGTGGACAAGCCACCATCGTGACCTGTTATCAGCATGAACTTGCTACTATTTATTACCTACTCCTGTTTTGTAATTTCTACTTGATCTCTTACATGGTCTAATGTGATCATGGTTTATTTATTCTGTTTTTAAGAACTATTTATATTGTTCCTGTTTGATCCTTTTACTACAAACTGGTAAGAAGAATTTTGTATCTCTGGACTGATTATGACTGGCTAAGACTTGGATTGATTAAAGACTATGAGATTGTTTTCCACTACAAAGTAAAAACTTTGATAAACCAGTTTATAGGTATTTTATTCATTATTGCTCTCAGCACCGTTTCCATGTGCTCTATGTTCTGCTGGTTGTTAACAGAACAACATTCTTAACAATTACTGCTCCATGTAAGACCACACCCGGAATACCGCATCCTGTTTGGGTCATCACATTGCAAAAAAGATGTTGAAACTTTGGAAAAAGAGCAAAGAAGAGCAGCTAAGCTGATTAAAGGCCAGAAGACTAAAACAAGAACTGTTATAGGAACTGGGCATGGCTAGTCTAGTGAAGAGAAGGACCAGGGGGGACAGAATAGCAGTGTTCAATATTTGAGGGGCTACCACAGAGAGGATGGGGTGAAGTTATTTTCCAAGGCACCTGAAGGCCAGAAAAGGAATAATGGATGGAAACTTATCAAGGAGCGATTCTACCCAGAAATAAGGAGAAATTTTCTGACAGAACAATCAACCAATGGAAGAGCTTGCCTTCGGAAGTTGTGGGCGCTTCATCGCTGGTGGCTTTGAAGAAGAGATTGGACTGTCATTTGTCAGAAGTGGTGTAGGGTCTCCTGCTTGGGCGGGAGGTTGGACTAGAAGAGCTCCAAGTTCCCTTCCAGCTCAATCTGATTTTGATTTTGAATCCTCAATCCATCCTGGTGCTTTTTTGCTAAGTATGAGGTTTTAAAAGAAAGATGAGTATCAATGGAGATTAAGGTTATCGTTTGCCCTCAACGTGATGTGTGGATGCCAATATTTAAGTGGTACATTTCAAGTAACTCCCTCTGATGAGTATTGCCACTAGAGCAGAGTTGCAGGCAGAAATGCAATTAGTCCTGAATCTCTTACTATTGTTTCAGCTTTTCTTCCTTTGCTTACTATTGTCACAGTCTGCTTTTCCACCCTGCTTCACATTATGTAAAACAAGTAACAACTGAGAAAGAAAACCATAAGGAAAAGGGGGTTATAGTGATGCTGAATTAGAAAATGCAACTCATAGGTTGTGTGTCCTAATTTTGTGGTGATCTTTCCTTGCCTTCCCTCATGTTGCCCATCTCTGGACTCACACAATCTTACCAAGATCTTCTTTTAAGTGAAGTCTCCAAAACTGGACACAGTATTCCAAATGGAGTCTCATTAAAGCCCTATGTAGAGGGATAGGAGCTCCTTTTTGCTGAGGGTGATACATCTGGTGATGCATCTCAGAATTTTGTCTGCCTTCCCAGCTGCCTGGCCACACTGCTTACTTATGTTGCAGTTATCATTGTTTCAGTGCCATGGCAACTACTTTCACATAGTTGTGTAAAAGAAGGGAAGAGAAAGCAGTGGTAGGGATATGTGGATGCATATTAAGTTCCCATAGGTAGGCAGCCTGCTGGCCAACCCAGGCAGTCCCTGATTTACAATAATTTATTAAGTAACCATTTGAAGTTCCAATGGCAATAAATGATGGCTCTGACCTACTCCCTCCCTCCCAAATTAGACATACTCCAGGATATGAGAATGAAAACCACTCTGGTGTGCTAACATTGCAAAGGATCAATCAAGAAGGAAGATCTTTGGAAATCAATGGGGACCAAAATAAGATGAAATTAAGAACTACTTCAAAAAATTACTTCAGTCCTTCCTGATGAAACATGCAGAAATGCGAATGGGAACTTTCTCTGGGATGTCCAGATACCAAAAATAATCCAGCCTGCCAACAAAGGAGAAAATGTGTAGTGTCTGATTGAATTGAGGGGTCCTTGGTGGTCTCTGAGCTTGATTGTGTTGTTGCAGACCTTTCATTAGCCAAACGAGGGAAGATCCTCAGTGCTCCAACCAACCTCAGAGGGCACCAAGGACCCCTCAATCCAACTAGCGTCCACTGTGTCAAATTAATTACTGTGTCAACCAGGATGAATGCAGAATCAAGGAACCGTTTTAGGTCAAAGACCTCTTAGGATGTGAGGGAATAATGAGAGATGTCAATGAAGACTGCATGCAGAAAGCTTCAGGGTGAACAATTTGCCTTTCAAGCAAAAGGCCGGAATGAACAGAAGGGAAAAAATGCATGGAAAAAATAGATTTTTCAAGCATTAGGACCACGTTCTCTTTTTATGGTGTGTCATAACATTAAGTAACTTAAAATTAACTATCAGTCGTGGAGTTACTTGCTAAAGATGCATAAAATTCTAAATGGAGCCTTCAGCTTTCCTTGTTTTGCTTTTTCATTTTCATTTTCTCTTTCCATTTATGGTCTAATGATATATCCTTGCCTTCAATTCTCCAAGGGCCTTAAGCTTCCTAGTCACATTTCTTGAGGTGAATTTCCTACTCAATCCCTATGTAAAAATGGTTTTCCTCATCATAGTTTAGCTTTCTATTCCTTTTTCAGGATCTTCCTTTTCTTTCATCAGAAGAGACCGGAGGGGTCCCTGCCCTTTCTCCTCCCCCCTTTGCTATGAGGCTGAGGGAAAAGTTTGGGAAGGGCAGCTGCATGTATTGAATTAAATAAATAAAAATAAATAAATTAAAACCATTTTCCTGATTGTGGCCTTCCTGCCTGTGTCCCATCTGCCTCCCCTTCAGGCGGGAGTTCTCAAGAACCGCAAGACACCAGCTGTCTTTCCCACAGAGGCTCCTGGTCCTCCTCTTCTGACCGCCCGGCTGTTTCTGACAGGATTTGGACCAGGGGTAAAATGCTCCTGGGTCGGACCGGATCGCCCAATCCAGTAGTGAGGGCAGCGGGTGGTTCGGGAAATCGGTAGCAAAAATCCCGCCTCCCTCCATGCCCAGCTGAGCCACCTGATCATCAGAGGTTTTTGTTAAAGAATTTTTTCTACAACCTGTTCTGTCGGAAGAAATGCTTTTAAAAGTTTTTTTTAAAAAGCCTCTGATGATCATGCGGCTCAGCTGGCATCATCAGAGGCTTTTAAAAGCATTTTTTTTACAACCTATTTAGCGGAAGAGGTTGTAGAAAAAACTAAAAGTTTTGGGAAAAAAAGTTGGCCATGCCCACACTGAGAGGGTGGTTGGATCTATTTCCCCCTTGGAAACTCTGGGCGTCCTGGCTTTGGACTATGTCCTCTGTTGTGAGGGGACAGGGGACTTGGTCCTGCAAATATGTCTCTGAGATTTCTCCCATCTCTTTGTCTTGTCGTGTCACCCATTATGATTAATGTACTCAGCAGCGGAGCTTCTTGGTCTGCGAGATTCCCCCCTCTCGCAGGCTTGGCCCTCCATTCTATCGAGGGCCTACCTCGATGACGGGCTCTGGAGTCCCGAGAGGTGGCATGCCGCAAAGAGGGGGCTGCGGGGTTTTTTAAAATTGTCCTTGTTTAAACTTTTAAGGGGTTCTGGGAGGGGGGAGGGGGGTGGGATTGGAATTAGGGTTGTGGGTTTGGGGGATAACCCACAAGGGGGACAGTCGGGCTTGGCCAGGACGTTCGGCGGGGGGGGGGATCCGGAGGGGGTCGAGCTGGTCCAGACTGCGTTTCTACCATCGGTACTGTGTGTGGGAGAGGTAGATATGGCGGGAGCAGGGGGCCATATCATGTTAAGGGAGCACGCACCCGCTGTCTTCAAGCGGTAGAGTGCTCCGGCCCCCAAGGCTCCACCCGTTCTCCAGGTAGTTCAGACCTCCAGGGCCCGGGCCTTCGCCTGATGTTGTGCAACGCCAGGTCTGTAGTAAATAAAGCCCCCCTCATTTGTGATCTTGTTTACGAGGGGGGAGCGGACCTGGCGGGTATTACGGAGACCTGGTTGGGCCCAGAGGGAGGGGTCCCTCTGGTAGAAATGTGCCCACCAGGTTTCCACGCATTCCATCAGCCAAGGTCGCAGGGGAGGGGCGGGGGAGTAGCAGTTATTATTAGAGAAGGCCTTAGGCCGAGGGAGACCACTGTACCTCAGACAGCTGGTTGTGAGTCCCTCCTTGTGAAGTGGGGCCATGGGGTTCAGATGGGCTTGCTGATCACATACCTGGCTCCCTGCCACGTGGCGGCAGCCCTGCCCGAGCTACTCAACGTTATTGCCACGGTGGCGG